TGCTTTACAAGATTGGTTAATAATTCAAACGTTTTATAATGAATTAGTGGGATCACTTAGATCTATTATAGATGTTGTTGCACGTAGATCACTAATGTCAAAACTTTTTGATGAAGCATACTCTTTAATTGAAGAAATGACTACTAACAATTTTCAATGGTCCTCTGAAAGGGTAAATCCTAAGAGAGTATTTAGTATTCACGATTCTGATGCAATGTCTATTTTTACATCTCAAATTGCTGTTATTTCGAAAAAGATTGATCAAATTGGAGTGAACTATTCTCAAATACCCCCAGTATTATAGGAAAATTCACTATGACAGATAATTAATACTCAATCATCTTATGAAACTTTAAATGCTATAAATAATCAAAATAACAATCCATATTCTAATTATTATAACCCTCGATGGAAAAATCACTCTAATTTTAGTTGGAATAATTATAATAATTCGGTGAATCTCTCTGGAAATTTGAACAACTAAGAAAATTCTAATTATTGACCTTATTATCCTCCTAGATTTAACTCTAACCCTAACCCACAAGTTAAAGAAAAGAAGTTGACAAAGGAAGAAATAATGTTGAACATGGGAAAACAAATACAGAATCAAGGATAAACAGACTCAAGATGCAAGAGAACTATCCAATACACCTTATATATACGGATCACGAGCATGTAAATCTAGAGATTCTAATCATTGTATTAAATAATGACTATTAAGATTTGATTTATTACATTAAAATTTCTCTTTATTTATCATAATTGTCGTTAATAAAGAGCAAGAAAATTAAGAAACATAATTTATACACCAAAAAATGATTTTCACAAATCTTAATATAATCTAATAATCTGGATCACAGATAAAAAGATACAATTCTTTGCTAGTCCGACCAACTGAAGTCCATCAGCTGATCGTTAGCAGCCGATTGACCGAAAATCAGATGATTAAAGGGCCAGTCAGGCCGATCAGAGATAAGCATGCACGCTGATGACTAATTAAATATCAAACACCCCAACAATCTCACAAGTATCAACGTGAGACTCCCTTAATAGCTCCCCCAATGATCTCCAAAGATCACCCGAGATAAGCATGCACGCTGATGACTAATTAAATATCGAACACCCCAACAATCTCACAAGTATCAACGCGAGACTCTCTTAATAGCTCCCCCAATGATCTCCAAAGATCACCCAGGAACAACAATCAAGCTAACCAACCGAACGCCCTAAAGCCAACCGACTACCATACTCAAAACATATTTGCTTCCTAGAGCGAAGGCCGACCAACACCAACACAGCCGACCGACCTAACCACCTGCCGAGCGGAAGGTATATACATAAAAAAAGATGCCAAAACCAGTTATAAATGCAAAAAAAAAAAAAAGAAATATCATGTAATATGCCTATTAAAGCAAGACAAACATAAAATTTTACACCTTATCCCTCTATCTCTTATACATATGGGGACCATTACATGCATTAGACGTTTTTGACTCTTCTCTTTAGACTCATACTCTGTAGCGAGAACTCTCTCATCTTCTCTCTCATAACTTCTAATTCCTAAGCATATAATGGGTCACATAGCTCAAGAATATCCCAATTTGCCACTATAAGACAAGTCTATATGTGATATTTTATTATTTTTCTCTCTTTTACCTTTCAATTATGGTTTCTACCGCTCAGACAATTGGATATGTCTCACAGGACAAATATGAATTCAACGCTATGCAGTGTCATTAATTTCTTTTATGCCAATTAACATGTGAATGCACCTAAATTATTTTCGGCTCATTGTTATCATGGCTAATATTTTTTTTATTTAAATATCAAGTCAATTCATTCATATATTTATACATAAATTCCAATCCCCAACCCCTCTTTAACACTAACCTCTTCATAAATTTTCTTACTATAATTAAACTTAAAATATGAAAAAATAAGAAGCTTTCTGCGATGGCGGCTCGCTGAACAGAACACGTGTTCGCCTCAGCTTTGTCGCATCATCATTCGTCATTGTTCATAAACAGGGCAGTCGAAGAAGTAGGAAGGCACTGGAAGCTCGGAAATCACGTTTGTCCCACAAACATAACCATTACCAGAAATCCGATCCGCCGGTTCTTTCGCAGGCTTGCCGCTCCGCCGCTTGCCAGACGGCTCACTGCCCATTTTAGTAGCGAAGGCAATCTCCTTCCTCGCAATTTTGTTTTATTTTTCCTTGATCTTCCGATGCACCCATCCGAGATGATCATTTTGAGGCCTGGATGCTAAAATTTTTTTTTCTCATTTGTATTGGATTTCTTCTGCTTCGGGTCTTCTTGTCGTATTTTTGGGTACTGCTTTTAGCGGACTGATTTGGTCAGATGATCGGAGAATGCGGCTGAATTTTAACTCCGCTATTCACAGGCGTTTGTCTTCGAGAGAGCTGATGGATCCCTTAGATAGAGATGATGAAGAGAGTGCCGGTGAGACATTTTTCTTTGTTTGTTGAAATCGATTAATTGTTTTTTTTATTTGTACGTCGAGCTTTTTAATCGATGTAGTTCTTTTATATTTTGTTTTTGGCATTCGTTTAGTTCGTTTGCTGAATTCTCCATCTGCTGAGGAAGAAGTTGGTAATCCATCGTGGAGGCTCTCTCTACCGCATGTAATCGTGGCGACAATATCTTCCTTCTTGTTTGGATATCACTTGAGGTGCGCTTCGGTTTCCTAGTCTGAGATCGGACGTGCTTGTTTCTTTTTGTTTTTATTATGTTTTTGGTATTTTAAAGAGAGTTGAAATGAGAATTACTACAATTACAGTGTTGTTAATGAGTCACTGGAGAGCATTTCCATGGATCTTGGGTTTACTGGGAACACCTTGGCTGAAGGTAGAACTAGGCTTTCTGGTTTTGTTAAATATGAGGTTCGCTTGTCCCGATGTACTTTATTTTGGTTTGGTTGGGTTTCTTGTAGGGCTTGTTGTGAGTATCTGCCTCGGAGGTGCACTTGTTGGTTGCTTCTTTAGTGGTTGGATTGCAGATGGAATTGGGCGGCGTAGGGCTTTTCAGTTGAGTGCCTTGCCAATGATTATTGGAGCTTGTTTAAGGTATTTAATTTGCTTCTGGTGCTCATTTCTTTTTTGGTATCAATGCTATCATCTAAGTTAATATTGTTGACTGGTTTTGTTATGATATTTTGTGCTTTATTTTTACTTTCTTTCTTTGTTAGATTATTCCAACTTTTACAGAGTCTCTGCTTTGATTGATGATTCAATATACTGGCAACTTAGGAAATGATACTCAGTCTCTATTTTTTTTTTTTTGAATGAATTCATGATACTCATTATCTTCCTTTGAATCCTAACAAACAAACTGCTACATTTTCAGTGCAAGCACTGGCAATTTACAAGGAATGCTCCTTGGTAGATTCTTAGTTGGAACAGGAATGGGCTTAGGTCCGCCAGTTGCTGCACTCTATGTAACGGAGGTAGAGTAAATATTCTCGTGTACTGATTGATTTCTTATATTGAATTTACTTATTCTCCACTTGTACAACTCTTTTGCTATCAGGTTTCACCTCCATTTGTGAGAGGAACATACGGGAGCTTTATTCAAATCGCTACCTGTCTTGGACTTACAGGGGCGCTCCTTGTTGGAATTGCAGTGAAGGAGGTTATTGGAGGGTAAATGAATACTGTTGTTTTATTTTGGTCTAATTGTTATTTTAATTAATTAGCCACCATTTACTTATTAGATGGAGAATTTGCTTTTGGGTATCTACTGTTCCTGCTGCTTTGCTGGTGATTTGTATGGAATTTTGTGCTGAAAGCCCTCACTGGCTTTATAAGGTTATTTGCTCCCTCTAAATGAAGCTTAATTATATTGTCATATTTACTAAAATTGACCCATGCCTGTATATTTTGCAAACAACCATCTTTGAAACACGAAGATGGAGGATGATTGTCAAATTAACTTGAATATATGGGACTTTGTGACTTTGATTTTTCTTATTCTAATTGATCAGTGTTGTCCCTTCGCTGAAAGCACAATGTTTAGTTGTTCGATTAAAAAATTAAAACAGTGCTTAATTGCTAATAAAAATCTCATTTATTTAATTAATCATGTAATTGGTTCAAAATTTGGGGATCAACCTTTTTGAAATTGTTTAGCCCCAATTAAGCTTTCTACTAGCGCTCCAACCATTGTTGATTTTAGCATCTTTTTTATTAATATATTGAAACTTGGTTAAACTGAAAAGTAATCTCTCAACTATTTGTATGTGACTAATTTAATCGCAGGGTATCATCTCTTTTCAATTTAATCTCAACTATTCAAAGTGATCCAAAGTGGTCTTTTGGAGGCTTAACTAGAAACAAGTTTGTATGGTCGAGAGACTAAATTGGGATCAATTTTGTGTCACAATTCTACATAATAGATCGTTTTGGATCAGTTTGTATTGTCGAGAGAATAAATTGGAGATGTGATATTTTGGGACTAATTAGGTCCACGTATTCAAGAACTTTTTTGGAGTTTAATCTTTTTGAAACCTAAGAGAAGAACGTGGTTGAGTTGAATGGGCTGTGGTGAGAGGGAAGCATAGGATAAAACATAGGAAGGTAAAAAGCATGTAAACAAACAAGGAGTTATGCAAAAAGTTAAAAAAAAAGTGGGAAGAAAAGGAGTATTGAGAAGTTAGAGGGAGGAGGGGAGTATTTGAGAAAATAGAATGGTTGAAGAAAAAAATTAAGTAATTCAAAAGCACAATATATGTAATTGAGAGGAGAAGAGTTGCATATGAGATAAAAGTTTACACAGAACCGAAAAAAAAAGAGAGAAAGTGAAGCGAAGAAAAATGAAAAGGAATGAAAAAGAGTTCAAGAAAATAGATGAAGAAAGCAATCAAAATAAGAAACATTGGGAAACTGAGGTAAACCTGCTACCTTCATAGTTATTATCTATTAAATTATGCTCTGTCTTACAAGATTGCTTACGGGTCTCTTGAATTTGAATTGTTACACTTGAGTAGCTTGAAATTCAAGCAAATTTTCTTTGAATACTTGAAATTTAAGTGGATGGGTCTTAGGGTCTGTTTGGGGCAGCTGCAACTTATCTAGCTAATCCAGATAAGCTGCTGATTAGCAGCTGATCCAGATAAGTTGTCTGACTGTTTAGTTTGTGAGTTTGGAAAACAGCTGATTCTGATAAATGATCATTCTGCCCCTATTTTGAATAAATTGTTTAACTGTTTAGTTTGTGTGTTTTGAAAACAGCTGATTTGCATGCTTTTTTAAGTAAATGAACAATCTGACACACAGAAGCTAAACGAAAATATAAATGAAGAGACAATTATTAAAAAAAGTATTAGATATGTCAGGTATAATGGCAATCACATGCTCAAAAAATTTCTAAGGCAGCATTTGCAAGTATGAATAACTAAACAAGTTATTTTAAAAAAAAATAAAAAGCTTACCTAGAGATTGACAAGGCCTTTGCAAAAGTTATAAAACCAAATGACATGTAGTGGTATTGCTTTTAATTTTTAAATTGGGGGTTTAGGATTACAATTTTGCGGGGAAAAAAAATTGTAGCTTTAAAAAATGAATATGAAGAAGTAGCATCAAATGAAACAAATGTACATTGTCACTATAAATAAATATTTCATCATAGCCAATCTTTCCTTAAAAACTTGCACAAATAACCTTACTTTTAAGCTGAATATATATACATTCATTTTAATTTTAAGTTGAATAGGCTTATCAATAATAAGTAATTAGATAATTAGTTTAGTAAGAATTTATTCAGGTAATAGAGGATGTCTTAATCGGCTAGGACGCGGATGATCTATTTCTTTAAATTAATTAAATAAATTACAAAGACTTAAAAATCAGGAGCTCCAGATCCAAATTAACTTCTGGAGGATCTATCTATTTCCCGTAGTTTTTGTTGTATTCCATTAAAAAATTCAGAATCTTATGAAGAAAATTAAAGAACAATTATTTCAATAGTACAAAATACAAGCAAGCTATGCACAAATAAAAACAACACAAACGAGAAAAAAAAAATAGATTTTTATGATCTCAATTTTGATCAATAGCTACTGAACCAATTTTGTTTTTCCAATCAAGGCCAAATCGACTCCACACAGACTCTCATCTCCTGAAAATAGTCCCCAGTTTCTGGGCGTTCTGTTTCCTACGATCGCTGCAGCGGTCTTTGAGTTTTAGCAGCCACCATTTCGCCGGATAAAGCTCTTCCTTGGTTGAATGCAAACAAACTGGCAGGCTGGTCGATGGCGACGAAGAGGGCATCTTTAGGATGAAGTAGCTCGTAGATTAGTAGAACAAGAGATGCCATCAGAGGGGAAAAAGCATTTCAACCTCTGAAGAAATGGATACCTGCTCGCCTGGCTCGCCTCCGCTTCAGCTGTGGGTCTATAGGTTCTCGCCTAGCCTGGCTCGCCTCCGCTTCAGCTGTGGGTCTATAGTTTCTCGCCTAGCTTTCGGCAGATGAGCGACTAAGGTAGTCGCCTAGCTTTCGGCAGAGGAGCGACGACTGGCTTTCGGCAGAGGAGCGACTCTTCCAGGGCAAAAGGGCAAACGAGCAAGGGCACTGGCGTAAATGAGAGAACGAACCGATTGCGAACGCGGATCGTGGGTATAACCCCGCGGTCGGCATTGTTCTAAAATAAAAAATCCAGTTTAAAGATAAGCATCCTAAATGTGGGAAACAAACGATGAAGCGGCGTTTTCACTTCTAAACAGACCCTAAACAAATCATACCACACTTCCGTCCACACTTTTCATCAGTTATATTTTTTTGAGCAGAAAAATTGATGACCTCTTCCCTTATACCAAGAGATCGATGATTTACTTATGAGAGAGTCAACACTAGTAATTTTAATCACAAGTGTTCTCACTTATAGGCTAGGTGGTTAACCTTGGGTGCTTGCATCCTTGGAAAACCATCATAGCTGGAAAACAGAGTATTTGTAAGAAGGTGAAATATCTAGATAGTTTTATCTTCTTTATTTTGATATATCTATTAAAAATGATTTCACCCTTTTCTCACAATGGTTTGGGCAAAGCTTTTTAGAGACCCCCTTGTGTTTTGTGAGCTAGGAAAATGCTTGAGTCAGCTCCTTGACTGGAGCCAATACAGATGAACTGTATTGTCAGATTATGTTAAATCCATGTGATCAAGTCAACTAGCAGGTATTATAGCATGTATATTAAGGGAAAGCTTAATCATTTCTTGATCTTATTAGTTAACAAGCATGTATGAAAGAAAATTAGGATATTAGGGATATTGAATTCGTGCAATTAGATCTACCATTAGGTTTAAGAGATAAGGTAAAGGCATGGCTCTAACCTTAGCCTTATTGAACTCATGACAGCTTGTCTTCTATTCAACTATCAGAGTTATTTGGTTTCATGACCATGCCCTTGTGCTTGTTGGGTCAAATAACATCTTTTGACTCACTTGAACTTGTTCAATCTAGGTTCTACATGATGTTGGACTAAGATGGAGTTTTTCATGCGTTTCTTGTACTTGACCAATGAAGAGGTTTGATGAATTCATTTCTTAATTTTATTAGCTTCTATATCTTAGATTTTTTGTTTACTTATAATTAATTCATATGAGAATTTTGCATGCATTTTCCTATAATTTGAAGAGGTATAAAAAAATTATTCTATACATCCAGAGATTTTCAACAAATGGCGAAGTTTTAGTCTGATAGATTTTTTTCATCGAACGATGTTTGATCACATCAGGACTTACTAGAAGACAACGCTTTTCTTATCCTTGGGATTGCTTTCTATAGTTCTCACTATGCATTGCATAAGCGTATGGGCTTTGGCCATTGAATTTATTATTAGGATCCTTATATTGTTGATCTACAAAAGTTATATTCTTTAGGTATCATGTCTTAGTCTTCACAATGTGGCATCTACTTTTATTGTTCAACTCTTATGGACTGCAAGCCTTCTATTGGACTAATTTATTTAGCAAATCATCGTAATTATTGCTTAAAAGTGTTTTTTCCTTTATCTCTGAGGATAATTTACTTGGAGGTTTGTTATAAGCTTGATACTCTCTTAAGTAATTTCTTTATGATCGTTTGGAAAACCTTGTCGGTAAATGGTTTCATCTGTAGGGTTACCTTTAGGATCTTCAATTAGTGATTCTGCAGAAGATAAAAACGTCATGCCTTGATTTTCTTCCTGTGGTAGTCTTTTGGGAGACTTGAATCATCTGAAGTAACTCATGACTATAGCAAGTTTAGATTTTTAATATTTGATTATTCTTTATATCTTCGACGACAAATCAATAGGATATTGATGGTTTGTCTGCTGATCTTCTTTGTAACTTCTTTTTCTTTAATGAAATGAAAGACCATATAGATTGAGGACATAAAGCTTGTCAATGGATCTCCTAGGGGCGGATCTCTGGACGCATTATCTAGATGTTATGTTCTGGCATATCTTTCATGTTTTCTTTTATGAGAGTTTAGTCTTTTAGAGTTAATATTATAGATTGAATAAACTTAATAAGTTACTATTTCATGTGTTTGGTTTCAAGAGAGGTGATATGAAGGAAGTCTTCCTTTCCTCAAACCCCTTTATGTTGCTACCTCTTTGTAGTAGATCTCTAGAAGCTGTATTACCCAAATGGCAAACCCTAATGTTTACCATGTCAGTTTGGATTATGAGGCATAATTTATCTGGTTATGCTATCTTGACTGGTAGATGGCAAATTTCTAACAGTTAATATTACACAGATTTTACTACCTAATATTTTATGCAAAGTATTTTTGTAGATGAAGTTTGCTTCGTTTGAGAATGCCCTTAACTTATTGGGTTGGACCTGAGTGATGCACTTAAGATGAAGTGATAAATTGTTTTTGATGAACCCACTAAAAATTAATATTTCTATGTGCTGGAGTGTATTATGATTAGAGCATTGTGTTCTCCAAAGATACGAAAAGAAGTCTTCACCATTGGAGTTGCTAGAATTTTACGATTTTTTTGAAAGGGCTGTTGAACCCCAACAAAATTATCAAACTTCATGATTTGATTCCAATTTTAAGAGTTATATTGATTGAACCAAATTTTCTTTAAGAGATTTTTCTTTTTGTTTAGATCTATTGTCAAGACTTCCTATTGGCCTAAGCTTGGATAGTTAATTGTCTATACAAGAAGGAAAAGTTGAATAAGGTAACTTATGGTCAAGTTTTTGGGTTCAAAGTTAATTTGTTAGGGAATTATGGGAATGAAAGTAAATTCATTCAGGATTTTATAGTTTAATCTTCCCCAATTCACCATGGACACAATCATCAATATTAGAGTGCTTTGACCCACATGATGATCGGTGAGCTTGACTAACAATTGTGGCTTGCCTTATTTTAGTCATTCAAAGCATACTATGATGGGGTAATGTGTCAAAGATACACTTTCAAGATTAACCATAGCTCATTTATTAGCAAAGGGTCTATTGGGCCAACTTGACTAAATGTTTCACATGTGTATGGCATTATCCAGTCGTGATTCATCCGCTTGTCTTAATCATCATTGATGGAGTAGGCAGTCAACATAGTGATCATCGATAAAATCATTTGGCATCGCCGTCGTCAATGGAGTGGTCAACGAAGAAGTCATTTTTGGCATATTTAACATCGATGAAGAAATTTATATGGGAAATATTTAACAAATTATCATTAACTTCATTTTTGTCAACAAAATAAACCTCGATGAACTATAATTGGTAGCATAACAATCAAGGACAGGGTGGGATAGTCAATGAAGTCACCATTAGCATGGATATTGTTGATAGAGTGAATCGTCATTGGAGCCTTCCTTAATTGAGCATAACCATCTTCTACAAAATTGTCATCGGCATGATTGTCATCAATAGGTGAACATTGTGACCTGCCATCATTGACAGAATGGGTTGTCAATGAAGTTATTTTTGACAGGTTGTCATTTGCATATTTGCTATTGATGGAGTTGACCTTAAGATTAATTGTCAAAAAAGAGTTCATCGATTGGGCTATTATAAATGATGATGAAGGTTGTTGAATGAGATGTCGATAGAGTTTGGTGTAAATATGTTGATGGTGATAATATTGGGATGCATGATTATTCAGTATAATTACTCTTGAACATTAATGAAAACACTCTTCATTTTTACTTTGCACGTGATTTCCTTATTCATGTTGCACCAAATAAAGCATTTATTATTAAAAATTCATGATTCATAGGCGTGCATTTATAAAAATTATATATTTAATTAATTAATTTGTATTACTTAATGATTATTACTTTTTATTTATTTATTTCATTACCAAACATACTTTTAATCTTGATAACAACGTTGACTTGCATTTATAATATTCTTATATAAAAACTCTCATCACATTCTTTCTATAACTCGAATCACATCATGAGTGCTATTCAGCTGTTATAAAAAGGATTCCTGATGGGCAGTGGAATTACCACTGATTTAATATATGCCATGATCTCGCTAGCCATTTTACCATCACAATTATGAACTATGGCACACATCTTTCTCTATTACAAAGATTTTCATGCCAGCATCCAACTTTAAGGGCTGGTTTTTTTTTTTTTCCTTGTTTTGAGTTGAAGGTCTTTAGCAGGTGAAGAACATCATATATGTTGTCATCCATAGAATAGTAGTGGTGGCATAGAGAAGCTTATGAGAAACAGTTGTCTTATCTAATTGCTGTCGCCAGCGATGGAACGACTTGTGGCGGGATTGTGTTGGGTTAGTCAATAAAATGGTGTTGTGTAACTAAAAAATGAACTATTCATCAGGCTGGTGAACCTCCCGTTCTTTGATAGGTGGCTGGTATAGGGGAGATTATCTTCCAAGTATTTACTATTTTCTTCTTTTTTTTTTGGCTTCTGCTAAAGTGAAGAACCAATTCTTTCATTTCCTCTAGAGGAGTTGACAGTTGAAGCTATCGATCACTAGAAGTTGCCTTTTCTATTTCCCTTCTTGATATTTTTATTTTCAAGTAGTGGATCGTGTGTTTTATAAACTTTATAGTTTTCCTTATAGTTTTTTTGTGTATTCGCTATTTATAGTTATTGCATTTATGAGAAATTAGGATATGCATTTTTAGTTTGTATTTAGGGGTTTTGAACTTTTCTTATGGTAAGATTTGATTGCATTTAGGTTAAGAGAAAATCCATTTTCTGTGCTCCCTATTGATTTATTCCCTTTTATGATTTCTTGTTTGTGCATGGGCTATTTTCTCCTACCAGTAGTCAGACGTGAAACCAAAAAAGATTTTCATTGATTGATCAAGTTATTTTGCTTGAACACTCATCAATCTGAGACCGCTAGTCTTGTTGCATCAATTAAATTTTCTCGTCGTCTGTATGGTAAATTGGTTTATATGGTTCATGGTGAGCTTATCTTGACGTCTGAAGACAGTAGATTTTTGCTTCTTAACATAAAACATGTCTATAAGTGTTGATCTTCATGTTTATCTTGAAAGCATAGTTCTTAAAAGGATATTTTACCAAATTTGCTCTTTTGTCTGATGCAGCACGCCAGAATTGGTGAAGCGGAAGCTGAATTTGAAAGGCTACTTGGAGTTTCTCATGTAAAATCCGCAATGTCAGAGTTGCTACGTTCAGATAGAGGGGATGATGCAGATGGCGTGAAGTTTTCGGAGTTACTTTATGGTCGACATTTCAGGGGTATACAACTCATTCATAATCTTTAATTGTTGTGCTGTGCATCTTGCTAAAATTCCTATCTTCTTAGAAGTCATTTGCAAGTAACTCTCTCTTTTGTTACAGTTGTTTTTATTGGAACAACACTATTTGCTTTACAGCAATTATCTGGAATAAATGCTGTCTTCTATTTCTCTTCTGTTGTCTTTAAAAGAGCCAAGGTGCCTTCAAACATCGCCAACATATGCATAGGGCTTGTTAATTTGTTAGGTAAACTGAAAATTTATTTTTCTGTTGCCGTTGATTTTGAAAAAGTTGTGACATACTTGTGTGTGTGTGTGTGTGTGTGTTTGTGTTTGTGTTTTGCTTTCAGGTTCAATAATTGCAATGCTTTTGATGGATAAGCTGGGAAGGAAGGTGCTACTTTTTGGGAGCTTTGTTGGCATGGTAATCTACTCGCATTAAAAACTTCCTCATTAATATTTTCTTGTTTTGTCCTATGAATAAAATCAACAGCTCCGTACTTGTCCAGGCAGCCGCAATGGGCCTACAGGCTTTTGCAGCAAGCTATCAAATTCTAGGTTCTGCAACGTTATATCTCTCTGTTGGTGGGATGTTGATGTAAGTACTAAGCATAAACTTGCAGTTTTAACTCTTACTCATTATCTAAGTAGTTGACATGAAACTTTTGTATGAGATTGACTGATTTGGATAGTTATTTGGCTTTATCTTTAAGTTTGATTTTTAAGCATATATTTACTGCTAACTGGTACGGATACATTAACTTGTCATTCAGAAAAAAACATTACCCAGCAGTGATAACATGGAAGAATGCAGTATGAAGGAGTCCAAGTTGCTAACCATTGATTATTTCATTTGGGAGTCATCAAGTAGGGCTGTAAACAAGATCGAGCTTGAGCGAGCTCAGACTTGGCTCATGTTCAGCTCATTCGAAATAGCTCGTGTTCGAAATTGGCTCGTGAACAGTGTGTTCGTGTTCGGCTCGATTTAAATATTCGTGTTCGTGTTCGGCTCGTGTTCGACTCGAAGTTGGCTTGAAAAAATTAAATTGAAAAAAATAGATGTAAAGTGTGGGATTCAAACCTGGACCAAATGCATACAAAAGAAGACACTAACCACATTATCACACGAGATGTTATGATTTAAATTTAGATATAAATATATATAATATATTATTATATAAATAATTATATATATTTTTAATTTCGAACTAAAACGAGCCGAACATGAGCGAACAAAGAGCTGTTCGTGTTCGGCTCGTTTATACTTAAAGCTTTAAAAACTTATTCGTGTTCGACTCGTTTACTTAACGAACAAGCCAAACAAGAGCTACTTAACGAGCCGAACACGAGCTGTTCGCGAACAACGAGCTTTTTTGACAGCCCTATCATCAAGTACTCTTTTCTAGAAGTATTTTGCTGGCATCCTTTTGTGTGAAATCATTTACCTTTATACAAGTTCCATAATTCAATGTCAGTGAGAGCCTCGGTTAGGTCCATAATTCAATTTTGTGAGGTGGTTCACATACATGCTCGTAAGAGTGGTTATTGACCGATAAGTCACCGCACATGCTAAAGCCCTCACGTGTTTCAAAAACAAAGAGAAAAGAAATGAAAAAAAAAAAAAGAAGCCTCCAATGGAGTATTTTGTTTTGTAACAGACTTTCGATTGTTTGTAAGGTGGTTTGCGCACTTGGTATGTGGTAGGTTATGTCTAGCCATAGCCTACCATAGCCACAAATTCCCAGAGATGGTCCAAATTGTATGTTTTTCTTTCCTTTTTTGTGGCTTGTTATGAAATCTCCACTTATATACCCCACACCTGAGGTTGAGCACTTCCTCATGTTTAGTCAAACATCATGGGATGAAGATATCACCCTCTCTCCAATTATATTCATGACATTCGTGGGATCTCATGATAAAGACGAGAGAAGCCAATGAAGTGTCTTGCTCCCTTTCATTGATCATCTGCACATGAGATCATGCACTATGGCCTCTCATAGAGTTTAGCTTGGCAGTGTCACCTATACATTCCCTTTCTTGCTGTGCTAAGGAGGTTCTCTTATGACCAGGTGCTTCACACATTGCTCATATGCACTTTTCCTGATGTAGGTGGCACAATCCGTCATGATGCTTTGTTCATCACTTAAAATCTTTTGTGGTGTGGTTGGTTGGCCGATTTCGCTGCATGCTACCCCCTCTGCAGGCATATTGTAGAAGCATTGGTGAAAGTTATAATGAAATCTTAACTTAGATCTAATTTGTCTATTTACACCAAGCTAAAAAATGTATTGAATTCGCAAAATTTAAATTAAAGCTTGTAAAAGAGAATATTTGAACATGCATTCTGAATTTTTCATTGTTAGGAATGAGAGGACCCTCTCTTAGATTTTTCGAACATCTATTTTGATTTTATTAAGCGATAATAGCCTTCCTTTTCTTATTAATTGCGACCTCATGAAAATTTAATAGCAAATTTTATATTTTTTCTAAGCATTTACAGTTTCTTTAATTGATGTTTCAGGGAACAGAACTGTTCTTTCGGGGCAAAGCCAAAATTTTTTCATAGCGGGGGCACAATTTATGTATATTAGTGAAAAAATAGTTAAAAAAATATAGATATATAATATATAAGAAATCCTAAGAAATTAAGGCGGTAATGCCCAACCTTAAATCCACCCTTGCTTTAGGATGCCATTAAAATATAAAGAGATATATTAACATCTATGATTCTATTTAACAGACGCTCTTTATTTCCTAGCAATACTATGCTGCTAAGATGTTAGTTGCAAGAGCTCTCTAGTTATTAATTATTTCTTGCAGATTTGTCTTTACATTTGCGCTAGGTGCTGGTCCAGTCCCCGGTCTTCTTTTGCCTGAGATATTTCCAAACAAAATCAGAGAGAAGGCTATGGCTGTATGCATGTCTGTGCATTGGGTAAGTTCAGTACATCCTTAGCTTTCACTTGGGGAAATTATAAGGTTAATTCAGTTTTAATCTTGTGTCTGCCATGTTTCTTTATATAATGGTGGCTCAACTAGTATGCGGCTGGGTTGATTTTCAAGAGACCAGCAACTATGCTTAAAAGTTGTTCATATCAAAATAGACAATTTCTATCTTTTTCTGGAAAGATGAATATATGGTTCATTATGATGCTAATTTCAGGTGGTCAATTTCTTTGTTGGCTTGTTATTCTTGCGGTTGTTGGAATTACTGGGAGCAAAGATTTTGTACACAATTTTTGCTTCCTTCTGCTTGATTGCTGCCGCTTTTGTTATGAGAAATGTAGTGGAAACTAAGGGCAGGTCACTTCAAGAAATTGAGATCTCCTTGCTACCACCCCAGTAGAGGTACATTTTATTTAATTAACTGAGTTTTTACATCAAAATTAGTATTTTGTTCAAAACAAGCAATATATTTAGTTGTTGTACATGCGTTCTGCCCCTTTTTAATAATGTTTCATGGGATTTAATGCTTCTTGTCTATTGCCACAGTGATTTGAATAATTTGTGGTTATTTAATTTTAAATCAAAATTTTGAATTTTAATACTATGAATTTTTTATTTTTTCAATCATATTCATGCTTGAATAGATTAAGGAGGAAATCTCGTTTGAAAAATAAAGCTAAACAAAATAAAGGCTAATAACTTGTGAAACCACAAAATTGCAATATCCTTGCTAGTAGTCTAGTAGAGGTTTTTTTATTGGGTCCTTTCGCCTCGTGTCACCCAATTCCTATGTATTCACATATCGAACACCTAAACTTCAATTTTTACGTACAAACCACCTCATCCCCTGTCATTGGACACCTGATGCAATAATTTGTCCATAGGTAGGGTGGCCTCTATGTAAAAATTGAAGTTTGGCAGCTTTCCGTGAGGCAGTGAAGAAAAAAGATTTTGGCCAGAGATTCTCTCTACTAAGAAAGAATAAACAAATAATAGTTCTATGTAAAAATTGAAGTTTGGCAGCTTTCCGTGAAGCAGTGAAGAAAAAAGATTTTGGCCAGAGATTCCCTCTACTAAGAAAGAATAAACAAATAATAGTAATAGTAAAGAAAGAGGATTTAATTAACAAAAGAAATTACCCAGTTCAAAATTTCTTGAAAAAGTTGCCGTCCAAGAAATTGGCATAAAATTTCTACACAATGGTGCTTTCAATTCATCAAGAAAATGCTCAATCATTATACAAACTTTTTTTTTCCCTATTTTTTTCTCCCTCTTCACAAAAACCACTGTTTCTTTTCCTTGAAAGAGTTTTCCAAACCTTCAGCTAGCCAAGCAAATCCAACTGCCATCGACCACTAAAGTAATCCATGTACACAAACTTGAGCGCTCAAGAAACTCCCATACACCTGGATTAACAACTCACGCAGCCCATTTATATTTATGGAAATCATATTAGGTAATTTTAAATATAAATCTTATTTAAATTTTGATGTAAAATTATCTAAGATTAAAAATTATCCAAATAAATTTTCATAATTGCTTTTTTCCCAAAATAATAATGAATTGATATGCATCTTAACAACCTTGAATTTTAAATCTGTACATGTCCTAACAAACTATTGAGTTATAAAATAAACTAAAAATACCCCAAATGATTCAATAACGCAACAATATATATGAATGTCCTATTTACTCTTGTTGAAACGCAACAATATATATGAATGTCCTATTTACTCTTCTCCAAGCTAAGCACTAAAAGAACCAAAATCTCGTGTTGTGCACTTTGCAACCTCAACAAATCTAGATAACCCCTAAGCTTAATATGATACTGAAGGAAAACTCCAACGACTCAAAATTGCAACTATTATTACAAGACACCACAAAGTTACAATGATGATTCTTCAACAAGAAATAACATAGCACAGGTAAATAGTAAACGACAATGAGGACTGCTGAAATTAAGGAAATGACAATAACATAAAACAGAAACAACCATCTGTGACGGGTACAGCAGGGGGAGGATGGAACGACAGTGTTGGCGGCAATGGGGAAAAGGTCGGTAGGGCTGGTGGCTGCTGGGAGGAGTCAGACAGGTGGCCTGAAAGAGTTGGAGAGGACCAACGACCTGCTGGAAAGGAACCAGAGGGGGCAACAAGGCTAGTGGGCTCCTAGGAGGGCTGGTTAGGGGCAGGGAAAGTGGTTGGTAGCAGTAGAAGAGGGGGCTGTGGTGGCCGGATTCTGAAATGACAGCAAGAAAACAGAGTATGGTAAGATAAATGTCTTGTCGGGGTCGAGCTAGAGCCGAAACACCACTTAGACTCTTGAAGATGGTCACCTCCTAAAACAAGTGATAGTCGAAGCACTTCCTTGCCTTCGAATACAACCCTTGAAGGGAACAACACTGGCAGCTGTAATCTGAATTCAGAAACCGCTTAACTGCAAAAGCTGTCAAACTTCAAACATTATATCTTTTATTTATAATGAAGCTTAGGACTTATTTTAGGCAATATTTTAAAGTAAGAAAGAGAATAAATATAATAAGAATTCATAATTTAAAAAATGTTTATAATAAATAATAATTCAGAATAGGCATAGATTAATAAAAATAATATTCAAAATTAGCAAGTGCTAGGATGGAAAGATGGGAAAAGGAAGGAAAAGGAAAAGATAGTTTTGAGAGCACATTTTAATTGTCAGAAAATCTCAGGTTATATCAAATTTCATATAAATATATATTGTTTGCTTTTACGGCTATTTTCTTTATAACATAATTCATAGAAATAATGTGTTCCTTACATTAATACCTTTTGTTTACTAAAGATTTCAATGTCGCTCAGGCTTCTTCTTATGCCTTGATGGTGTAATTCAATTACAAATGCTTCTTTTTTTTTTGCTTTTTATTGGTAGGCATGATGCAGACTGCAGAGCATGGGTCTCTTGATCAAGTGGGTGAATTTCTTGAAATTTGAGATGTTAAATAGATGGCCTTTTTAGTGAAGACTAATTATAGAAATATCGATGTGTTTCTCATGTATCTAATATTATAATGCTAGTTTCATTCGACATTGTTGATATATTTTCTATAAAAAATAGTTTTCTTTCTGCCTTTTTTGTAATTTTCATTGCATTTATAAGCTTGAAATGATTATGCATGTAATGTGGAATTCCCAAACCAGTACCATTTGACATTCACACAATCACCAATTACGATAGCATTACCATGTTCATGCCATGTCAAATGGGCGAACAAAGAATGGAGTAGGACTCCAAACCACCTTTCACAATTTAAGGAATTGCTTCCAATAACATGTGGGTTAACCGACACGCTTCAAGAATTTGTTATCAAATGGTCAATGCGCATCATCCGATTAGATTCTACTTATGTTAAGAAAGACAGGAGTAGACCTAGGATGACTTTGTTAGAATGATCTTAATTCATTAGAATTAAATGAAAATATGACACTAAATAGGATGCAATGAAGAAAAAAGATTCATGTAACCGACCCCGCTTAGTGGGATAAAGGCTTTGCTGCTGTTGTTGTTGTGGTCTATGCACATCATCAATATAGTAAAACAGTCTTCCCCACTTTTCAAGGTCGAAGAAAAGGCCATGCAAGGAAGTGGATGGCCTAATTTTCGTACAGCATCCAAACTGTCCCTTCCCACTCCATTACAACCACCTATATTTTCCTCTTTCAAGCTTGTTTTGCAATGTTTAATAGTTTATGAAATGATGTGACTGAAAACATCTGATGAGTGAAAAATTTTCCTTACCGTTTCTTCTTTTGAATCTTGCTCGCTAGTGAATTAGGTGAATGAAGGCTTGGTAGCCAACAGTTGAAGTTGTTTCTTTTGTGAGGATCAATATATTGTTTTCCTCTTATGTTTTCTCATAATTTTGTCTTTGTTTATGGCCTTGCATCTTTCAAACCAATCCCCTATCTTTCATCTTTTTCAAACAATACAAATCTTCAGCTTGTTTATAAGCTTTGTGTCACGACTGGGCCCGGGATTTGAAATTAATCAAAACCGATACAGGCGGTTGGATGGAAGAATTCGTTATTTATTTCTTATAACTTGCTATTAACAGATGAAAGAATCACTAATAAATTTAGTTAAAACAATATATTTCAATTTATTCTGGTTATAGTTGTCAGTGTCTTCTATACATGTTTTCTTTTTTATCGCTTATCTTTTAAATCATTTAAAATTTACCTGAAAAGTTAGTTTAAAAATAATGATGAGCTAATAAGGCAGTGAATATTCATATTCCTAAATAGAATAAATATGAAGAAAAAGACAATATACATGTCAGTTAAATTTTTTTATAAATCAATATAAATATTTAATATATTTTTTTATAGAGATTATATAAATTTCATAGTAATATCATTTTATGTCTATGAGTATCGTTTAAAAATAGTATCATTTAGAGTACTTTAGTATCAATATTCATTTCTATTTACGTGCACAGATAAATTAGTGTTTCCTCACTAGTATCATCAAGGGCACATGCAAACATACCATAAATCATTTATTTACATTCTAAATATCATTAAATATATTTCTATTATAACATGCATGTGTAGTAAATAAGTTAATGCAAATCGTTCACATTCATTTCTAGACGACCAAATTGAATAATAAGCTAGAATAATCATATTTTATTTGCAAAAATAAGATTCATTGACTAATAATATTATAATGCGAGTGTTTAGAAGAAATATAACATTATTGTCATAATTTAGAATTAAAAGTACTTACATTGATAAAAACAAGAAATACAACATTATTTTCATAATTTAGAAGTAAGAGTACTCATATCGATAATAGACATTCTGTTTACTGTTATTTTATTTCATTCAAATTATCATTTATAAAATATTTAATTATCGGTTAATTATAATCTAATTATCAATTATTATTGTATTGAACTATTTAATTTTTAAATATTTTAAATTTTAAGTTTAGTTATTGTAATCAAAACTAATATTAAATATTATTAATTTATGCAAAATATATTTAAAATTAAAACTCTAATATTTCTTTAGCACCTAATCAAGTTCATTCAAGTTTTAACCTTTAAATAATAAAATCATATATATAATATTTACTTAAATAAATAACTCACCCATGCTCAACAATCGAACACGAGCCCGGTTTTCTCCATAGAGTACGATGATCCTTCCTCAGGCTCCGGCTCGGCTCGATTCGAACACTGGAGCTCTCTTCTTCGAGTTCTTATTCTGTGCGGACACCGCACGCAACCATGCGGGCGGGGTCCCATG